GAGACCCTCATACGACACCCCGCCTACCTGGAGACAACCTTCGGACAACGAGAAGGCGGATTCCACGATGCTCATGACTTCCAAGGAGTTCTTGGAGCGTCAGTCATTCGCTGTGTCGTCAATTGCTACACCGAACCACACTCACGTTGTGCCCAGCGTCGCTCACCAGCATCAGCTTCCCTTTCATCTGCAGCAACCTGCGCATGGTATGGGTCCGCGTCAGTCACCGCATATGCCGCCCATGCCTATACAAAATCAACATGGACATGTGCCCCATACACCGTACCAGAATATGGATGACCACCGGATGATGCACTCTAACTCGGCCCAGTCCTTCGCTTCGCCGCGTATGGCACAGGTCCCCATCACTTACAACACGCCAGCCATGACCTCGACAGGTCAGGTGCCCTACAACCAACCGATGATGCAGCCCTACGGCGGGCCGGCCACACCTCAGATGGGTGGCTACCGGAACTTCTCCCAAAACCATCAATACGTGCCGCAGCAGCCTGGTGGCCCCATGGGGGCGCCTATGATGCCTCAATTCATCAATCCCCAGGGCATGGTGCCGGCACCCGGCCAAATGCCAATGTACGCTGGCAACCACCAGTTCATGCCTCCGAATGGCGCGCCGCCTCAGCCTATTCCGGGAGCCAACGGCTATCCCAGCCCGGGACGCCCGTCAGCGCCGATGATGGTTCATCAAGGCTCGCAGCAAGGCCAACCGGTGTATGGCATGAGCCCCAATGTGCAGTACCAGCAGCCTGCGTACACTCCGCAACAACCCGGCGGTCAGGGTAAGATGGTACCCGGCGGTCGCTACCAATAAATTGCTAACACGTCGGCTTAGTTGGCAATGTGCGTGGGTACAATAGTCCCGGACCTCAACACTTTGGAACGAGTCCCTCTCAGATGCATCAATACGGTGCACAGCACCGCAGTGGAAGCAACAATTATGGAGGCAAGCCGTACAATAACCATGGGCAGCACCAGGGTCCTCAACAGGTTCCCTCGGCACCTGCCAATGGTCCTGGACACGCTCCTGGAGGCACCGAGGAAGCCAAATGAGAGCTCGACGAAACCACCGAGGCATACCGATGACGCCATGGAGAAGTATCCCAACACATCTCAGTATCTAGGCCCCTTTAGCGTTGATGAATAACCACTTGATCCGCGAAGCTTGGGATGGATGCTGTCAACTTGGATGTGCCAGCAAATACATAAAGCAGTCCATGGAAACCTCTGGAGCAGCTGTCAAGGAGATATCTCCGAGAGGGCTAGCGTTCGGAGGCAACCAGTCACCGAGCTGGAGGGCAGGGTCGGACTCGCTGTATGTAGTGCGTTTGCTGAACTGGAAAGTCACGTATTGGTCAGCTTGTGGTTGGAGAAGACAGTCCAAAGGGTTCAGATGACGCATGCCTGAATGAGCGGGACTGTCATACCTTACAAGCGGATCACGGCAGAGGATCAAGGGAGATGTGAGGACGTCAATCATGATCCAAACGCACATGTGAAGGCTGGGTGTATCGCGGTAGCTAGGTAGAGCTAGTGACGAGAAGAAAAGCACAGGAGTTGAACAGTGTAGGCCAAAAAGCCATCTATCAATAGTTGGCTCCAAATGATTAAACATTACTTCACAAGGTCAAAGTGAATTGCACCTGATTGGACCATAGGAACTTCTGGGTCTCTCTGGCAGTCAATCATGCCAGTCTTTGCTGCGTTGTGTAATGCTTTTGGATCAAGGACAAACAAAGCAGAGATGGACGAGTGGCCATGAGAAAAGGAAGAAGAACAGAAAACCCTAGTGTGGCTGGAATATCTCGAGGCGGCATATTCGACACCATGACACAACTACCTAAAGTAAGAAGAGGAGTTGTGGAGTTGGAACATGATTGTGCGAGTTCGGGCTGAAACTTTAATCGTGGGTAAAAGGACGAGTGGTTCGCGTCTGTTTTAAGGCTTCGAAAGAGTATTATTCCCGGACAGGACGGGGCGATTGAGAATGGAATGACGTGAGAAGGTCTGGTCTGGTCAGGCCTGGTCATGGTTGCATGGCTATCTAATCGATGATGGGAGGATTGAATATAGTTGTGAGGTTGAGGTGGACAATTAAAGAGTTCAAGGTATTATCGTGGGGAGATTTTTAGAAAGGATGATGGCAGCATGGGGTGTGAGTGCAGGGTGACAACCTTCGGCGCCTCTTGATGCAGTGCAGGATCCATTGTTAGAACCTAGCATGCGTGGGTAGGTATGCATTTTCGACTGGCGGCTGTATGGGGATGAAAGGTACCTAAGGTACCTTGGGGGGATGGCAGGAAACATTCCATTCTCATTCGTGGCGGTTGTAGGATGCATGCCATTTGACGGCGCATGTCGCATGTTTCAAGAACCCCCTACTTTCTTCTTTTATCCGCCCTCCTTACCCGATCGAGCATGGGTGGTTTGGACGTTTGAAAAGTTCTACTTTTTTTTCTCTTCTTCTTCTCTAGGTCTGCCAAATCACGTCACGGTCGGTTCCCGGGGATGGCTGAGGAGGCGCTGAGGGCGGGGGAGGAACGGGAGGCACACCGCGCATCACCGAACACTGGCTGGAATGAAGCCGTGTGGACCTGGGCGGCCTGGACCCTCTTTGGGATCGACGACTTTGCTTTCCTCGGGTGGTTTTGCGCTCCACAGATACCACCGGACACCGGTGAAAGGTGAGGTTGCGACTGTGACTGGGGCACTTTTGCGCGGTTCGACATTGAAGGACGGTAAGAACTACCTAGCTGTGTTGACTATCTCGGGCTCACGTTGCCGAAAGATGTGTTGTTCCTATTCTCTCATGGCTCAGCTTGGGATGTATCTTGTCTTAATGTGTTTGTCTATGAGCTGGAAGACGAGGCAAGCTGGCGAGGTGAGTGTAAACGGACAGCGCCAATCAGTGAGCAAGGCACCGAAGCGAAAGCCAGGCACGCAGGCCGGTTGATTGGACACGGACTGGATGGCTTTCCACTGCAAGTTCAAGTATGCTGGCATGGTAGTATGATGGTAGGCACTTCGCGAACATGGAAGCAGCTCAGAGGCACAGAGGCTCAGCCAAGGTTCGATTTGCGGCCCTTGCGCTTCACATCTTTACCGCGCAGCTGCAGCTACCGCTGTGGCCTGCCATTCGCGCATCCGTCCCTGGGCCAATGACATGTCTGGATCAGCACTTTGTCTCTTTTTGGACGGTCCAGGGTCTGTTCATCCCACCTTTTTTGGACCACGTCCCACACCTCTCTCACCCTCTCTCCAGAGTCTCGGCCACTTCATCCGCACATCAGAGACAAGACAAACGCGCTTCTTGTCGCCCAAGAGTGGCCCCGCGGTGAGGAGGAGGGCCAACTTACAGGTACCTTCGCCGACATACCCGCATCGCACCGAGAACATGCGATGAGGTGCGGTGTGACTTGGTACCCTGCCCTTGCCTTGCCTTGATCTGTTCGGCCAAATGGCAGGGAGTGACTCTGGAGTTGTAACGCTTTCCGCGAGACCTGACCGGGGGGTTCGTGAGTGACCCGCAAGGCGGCAGCAGGCGGGTTGAGCAAGGGTGCAAGGGGCACAAGACAGGAATCCAGCTGCTGCTCCTTTGGGGCGCGCAACTCGGGGATTTCTCTTTATCGAGTTTTTCTTCAGGACGGAGCCGTTGTTGGACAGGAAGGAAGGGGACGGACGGAGGAGCCGAGAATTGCGCCAGGACCTTGGGTCGTTGTGAGAAGAATCCAGAGGGAGAGGAAAAGGGAGGATATCAACCACACGCCGTCCATGCTGGACCTACACTACGTTGAAGGGATATCTCAAGGGTTCCCCTACGGTTTCTGCTTTCTACTAGTATCCGAGTTGCAGGTTGACATATCCATCACTTCCTAAGTAGCTATACTCGTTGGCTGGAGGCATCCAACATGGGCATCCGAGGTATCTCATTGTAGACCTGCTAGATGACGATGAAGAATAGAAGGGTGCATGCGCCCAGGGCAGGGGTTGACTTGCGGCGCGAGAGAGGCACACCCCGCGACCGCTAGCCAGGCCGCATGGCTACCTCACTTTCATGGATCAGAATCCAGGTTCTGGGCTGCCACTGGACGAGAAGTCAGAGAGTGAGAGAGCAGGCCTTTCAACCCTGGCAAGCCTTGGAAGCGAAGCGGCTCTCCCCCTCTTGTTCGCACCCTTTCCTTTGCCAAGATACTGATGCGCCGGCTGAGTGGTGTGGTTTGTTCGACAATAAAGAGCCCGTGACGGCCTCCCGCCTTTCTTCAGCCCTCTTATTTCATCTTCACCTGACTTCATTCGTAGCAGCTCGATCCGAGTTCTTGGGAACCTTCTTTTTTCCCCTTTCTCACCTCTATCTCTACAATTTTCTCTTTCTGTTGCTCAACCTCGTCCAGTGTTGTTGCGTCATCCACGCTCTTGACTGCTACAAGACTCAGCCCAACTTGGCCTACTTTCGTCCCCATTTACACGTGGAGAACTCGTAGCCTCACTGCCGTTCCTTCCTTTCCTGCCACTTTGAAATCTTCAACGGTTACGTATTCGCCGGTATTATTCAACTCCCGACCAGCCTCATTGTTTGGACGTTTGAACACATTCCTTCGACCGCCTTTCTCCATTGTAAAAGTCACCCGACTTTTTTTTTTCTCCTTCTTCGAGCCGGCTCGACTCTCAAGACCACATTCAGATAAAGCCAAGTGAAGACAACCCGTCTCACTCACCTTGATTTGACCGACTCACCCTCATTCACCTACAACAATTCTTCAACCATCTCGACCTAAGAATCAACAGACCAACACACATTTCAAGACGAGGAGCAAATCCATTCTTTGACCCTACAGAAAAAATCCATCCATCCTTCTTCCAGTCAAGAACAACCAAGCTTTTGTCAACAACACCTGGAGGCGAAGCCCACCTAAAAAAAAAGAACTCATCATCCTCTTCAAACCACCCTCATCCTAGACCGAAGTCTTCCAACACCAGACGACATCATGAAGTCCACCTTCGTCTCCGCGATCGTGCTGCTTGCCGGCCAAGCCGCGGCTCATATGGCCATCACTTACCCGCCGCCTCTGCGATCCAAGCAGAACCCCTTCGCCGGCCAGGACATTGACTACAGCATCACCAGCCCTCTGAGCGCTTCTGGCAGCGACTTCCCCTGCAAGGGCACCTTGAACCTCCTCGGAACCGCTGCAGCCTCTCCCGTCGCTACCTGGCAGGCCGGCCAGCAGTACAACATGACCATCGCCGGCGGTGCCAACCACAACGGCGGTAGTTGCCAGGCTTCCCTCTCCTTCGACAGTGGCAAGACCTTCACCGTCATCCACAGCTACATCGGTAACTGTCCTGTCGCAGGCACCTCGTCTCTCACCTTCACCTTGCCTGCCGACACCCCCTCTGCCAAGGACGCCCTCTTCGCCTGGACTTGGTTCAACAATGTCGGTAACCGAGAGTTGTATGTCCATCCTCACCTTCTGGTTCCCGCCATGACCATGCTAATCCTATTTCCACAGCTACATGAACTGCGCGGTCATCACCACCACCGGCGGAGGCGGCAGCGCTTCCACTCCCTTCGCCAGCCGTCCTCAGATCTTCAAGGCCAACATCGCCAACGGCTGCAGCACTGTCGAGGGATCTGACGTTCTGTTCCCCAACCCCGGCCCTCCTGGAGACGTCACCAACGCCGGCACCAAGACCGCTGCCCCCGTCGGCACCTGTGACGTCGCAGTCGGTGGTGGCAGCTCTGGAGGTGGTAGCAGCAGCTCTCCCAGCAGTTCTGCCAACGCTGTCGCTCCTGCCCCGTCCGCTCCGGCCGCTTCTCAAGTCTCTCAGCCGAGCTCCCAGTCGACTACTCGCGCTGCTGGAGGCGCCTCCTCATCTGCTGGACTGTAAGTAAATCTCACCCATGTCTCACCCATGTCACTGTGATTATGCTGACTCCCATTAGCCCTGGCGGCGTCTTCCTCACTGTCCCGGCCTCTAGCAACTCTGCCGTTGCCTCTGCCCGACCGACCACACTCGCGACCGTCAGCATTCCGGCTTCACCCAGCGAAGAGTGCACTGAAGGATCTGCGGCACCCACCGCCATGCCTGCTCCCACTTCGGCAGTCGTTCCCTCAGCCGCCCCCTCGGCTGCCCCCTCTGCCGCTCCATCCGCAGCTCCTTCGCCTGGCGCCGGATCTGGTGATGCTGCTGACGGCTCCATGACCCCCGGCAAGGCCTGCACCCCCGAGGGCCAGTGGAACTGCGTCTCCGGCACTCATTTCCAGCGCTGTGCCTCTGGACAGTGGTCGGTGCTCATGAGTATGGCTCCTGGCACCAAATGCCAGTCTGGCACAACCGAGGTCCTGGTCTGGCAGAAGAAGAGAGCCCACGGTCGCCGCTCCCTCCGCGCTAGACACCACATCTAAGCCTCGCGGGCCTCTGTGTAACAACTTTTCTGCCCTTCGGAATGTATTGTCCAAAGGTTCACGACATTTTTATGAGACTTGGACGAGATACGGGGACACGCATCCATAGACACGGGGGACAAACTCTGGCTTTCTGAGATTTTGGCGTTTTGAGGATAGCATGGATCTTTCCAGGACTGGTTCTTGGCTCACATGGGAAAAGGCTGGCTGGCAGCTTAGTACGCCAGATAGGCTTGATAGCAAATCACCACGATCGTTGTAAGACATGGCTTTTTTGTGTAACATGCCGATGATGCAGTGCTAGGCGACATGCACCTGGGGTGATTGTGGTTGTTGATGTCAAGAATACGCCAGTGACTGGCTTGTCGTCTGGTGAGGTTGAACGTATGACACCTGCCGGGCCGTCAGAAGCTGGCAAGAAAACGCCAGCTGGCAATCGACAGCCACTTCAGGCAGCATACGCTCCTGTGGCTGGAGCTTTGAACCTCGAGACTTCAATCCCAGGTGAAAGACATTGAACGATTCTCATTCCACGCTACCACATTATTTCCGCATTTGAGCGATAAATTCTTATCGTTGCAGAATTATTGAATCATACGCGATTACTGACTGTCGATCTGGCTGGTGGGCCGCTCCTGACGTACCGGGTCTCATCCCTGCGAAGACCGAGGCCGGTTCATTCGAGGCAAGGAGGGAGTTCACATTGAGGTGGCTTGGCGGGGTGGTGACGAAGTGAAGGTCTCAACGCTATGCTTCACAGCAGCTTCTAAGCATATCACATAAAACTAAAGATGGCGATACCGTCAGGTCGTACGGCCTTCAAGAAGAAGGATGGTGTCTTGACCTTGACGCCGGATCAGCAGTCCGTCATCTGGACTCCAGCACCTGGGAATGGCCCGCCTACGGTCTCCCTGGTGATTGCCAATATCTCAAGTGAGCTTTCATCACACGAGACAGCACTATGCATGACTGACGTGGGCCACAGATTTGCAACAGACACCAGACAGCGCAGCAAAGGTCATGCTCAAGATCTTTGAGAAGCCTCCAGATGCAACAGAACAAGTGCCCTACCTCTTCCACTTCACATCACCAGAAGCCAGGTCCGAGGCCAACGCCATCAAGGATCTGCTCTCAAGGCTGTTGGCCGATATCCGCTCCGGCGATCCCAACGTCCCCAAACCCTCCGGCAACTCAACACCGAACGCGGCCAACGGCGCAAATGGTGCCAGCGGTGGTGGTGCCGGCGCCGGCGGTGGCTCGTCCATGGCCTTCGCCAGCTCCGCCAACGCGAAGCCCAACAGCGCTCGCTGGTTCGACGACGCTCAGCTCAAGGGTGACATTGAGCTGCAGCAGTCCCTTATGAAGAAGGACCGCACTCTACACCAGACGTACATGGACGCGCGCGCGACCAAGCCCGAGTCGATATCGGACGCGGCTTTCAACGCGCAGTTCTGGTCGACGCGCACAAACTTGCTGCGTGCCCACGCCATTGAGGTGAACCAGCAAAAGGGCGCGTACAACGTCCTCCCCGCGATAAAGCCGCGGCTGGAGAACGACGTGCTCAAGCTCGACATCACCGTAGAGATGGTCCAGCTCATCATGGCGCAGCACCCGCTCGTCAAGCGGCTCTACGACGAAAACGTGCCCAAAGTCCCCGAGAGCGAGTTCTGGTCCCGCTTCTTCCTCAGCAAGCTCTTCCGCACGTTGAAGGGAGATAGGATCACGGACGAGAGAAAGGAGGGTATCAAACGCGACGCGCTGTTTGACGCCCACGATGCCAGCGAGAACACGACAATGTTCCAGCGCAAGAGCATGGCGCAGAGCGTGCCGCACATCATTGACGTCCACGGCAACGAGGAGAACCAGGGTGGCTTCCGGAGCGGAAACCAAAAGGACGTCGAGATGCGGCCGCGCAAGAACGTGCCCATTGTGAACACCCTCAACAGTCTCAGCGAGCGTATGCTCGCCAACGTGGCCCCCTCGGACCGCGATACCGGCGCCGAGGCCGAAGAAGACTCGACGTGGGCGGAGATTGCCCTCCGCGACCTGCGCGGCGACGCAAAGGAGAACAAAATCATACTCAACATCAAGGAGCAGAACCGCTTCTTTGCGAAAAAGGACGAGGCCAAATCCGCAAACGCCCTCGCTTTCGCCAAGCAGAATCCTTCGGACGTCCTCTTTGACATTCAGACCGATCTCGAGACCATTGAGACGGACGGCGCGGGCGGCCTCAACCTCCGCGCGGGCATCGGCATCGTCGACGACAGCGACAGCGACGACGGAGGAACGCGGCGCCCGCCCCACGTCGGCTCCCGCGCCGCGCGCAAAGCCGCGGGCGACGACATCATGAAGGGCATCCGGCAGCGCCGCGCGCAAAAGTACGGCGACACGGCGGCGGACGAGTCCCGCCCCATGGGCCTGCCCGTCGAGGTCGCGGAGCGGTGCCAGCTGACGCACGCCACGACGGTGGAGTTCCTGCACCAGTTCTGGAATGCGTTCTTGTCGGGCGACCCGGACCGCGCGAACGAGCTTCAGTACCTCGTCGAGTCCCTCAAGCGCTCGGCCGAGCGCATCCACGCCGTCGCCGACGAAGCGGAGAAGACGCGCGACGACATTATCCGGGCCAAGAAGAAGGAGATTATGGATCACTACAAGGCGACAGGAAAGAAGATTCGCGGGTGGCGGCCCGAGCACGAGAAGGGCGGGAGGAAGGCCGTTTTGGCGATTATGCAGCCCACGCTGGAAGCGCTGAAGAGGGCGCAGGGGGATTATCAGCGGGCTCTTGCTGCTGAGGGGGTTCAGCTTTCCACCGAGGCTTGAAGATTGCACCTGAGGTGAGGTGAGGTGACAAGGGATGTACGTCCTGGGCTTGCGGCGGAGAGAGAAATAGAGTCGGGTTGTATAAGAGATATCAAAATGCGAAATCATCAGGAGCTTTATTCAGGAAAAAGCAAATCACATCGAGCCATACCATACACATTTCTTCTCCAACGCTCACTATGCACACAAGTCTTGTCGAGTGACGCTCCATACTGTCTCGTAAATCACCCAAGGAGGGGCACATAAGTTAGTGTTCTCAAAATCCCATGTTATGAGGATAGTAATTCATAGCCCATCTTTTGCTATTCCTTCTTGTTTAGCAAGTGTTTTAGAGGATACTTAACTAGGTACCTGATCGTGGATGGTGTGTCCTCCCAATGATAATACAGAATCCACCACTTCTCTTCCTTTCCCCCCTTTCTATAGCCCACGATGGGGATGTCCTCAAAGGAAATTATTTTCCCGCCACGCAACGAAGAATCGTACAAATTCGCTTTCAAAACCACCCCCATCCCATCCATCTCTCTGATGATGGCCCGAGTTAAGTGTGAGAGATTTGCTTTCAGCGAAGCCAGAATGACATTACAAAGAAAAAAGGAAAATTGAACAACCGCGAAGAAACCTTGAGGTCCAGTGATCTTCAAGCAACAGCCTGCCGCACTCTAGCCTCCTCAGCATCCGTCGACGTCGGCAGCACACCGAAGCCCATACCCTTCCTCTTCTGGCTATTCTTAGCCCGGACGTCGCCGTACTTTTCGTCGAACCGCCGGATGCTCTTCAAGCTGTCCATGTCCTCGCTGACGCTGGCGGCGATCATTTTGAGCGCTTTATCAAAATGGTGCTTCGCGAGCGTGCGTTTCGGCGGGAACACGTAGGGTTCCGGGCCGGTGTGCCGCGCCGCCACCTCGCTCTCCTCCTGGACGGCCGTCATGGCGGCCGCGACGCAGAGGTTCTTGAGGTCGGAGCCGGAGTATAGTACCGTCTTCCGCGCGACGTCGTCAACGTCGACCGAGGCGTCGAGCGTCTCACCCTTGAGGAGGATGCGAAGGATGGAGGCGCGGTCGGTCTTGAGGGGCAGGTCGACGAGGATCTTGCGCGGCAGGCGGCGCAGCACGGCGTCGTCAAGGTCAAAGGGCCGGTTGGTGGCGACCATGATGAAGGCTTTCGTGTCGCTCATGCCGTCCCACTCGCGCAGGAACTGGTTGATGGTCTCGCGGTGCGCGGCGCGGTTCCGCTGCCCGCGGGCGGCGAGCAGGGCGTCGGCCTCGTCGATGAAGATGACGAGCGGGCTGAGTTTCTTGGCGAGCGAGAAGAGGGCGCGCACATTCTTCTCGCTCTGGCCGACGTACATATCGTTGATGCTGGCGCCGCTGACCTCGAGCATGTTGGCGCCGCTCTCCTTGGCGACGGCCTTGGCGAGGAGGGTCTTGCCGGTGCCGGGCGGGCCGTAGAGGAGGCAGCCCGGTATCCTGTCGGTGGCGAGGACGCCGTAGGTGAAGGCTTCGGGGCGGACGAGCGACAGCGACGTCAGGAGTTTGAGGTTGTTCTTGGTTTCCGCGTCGGCGTGGACGTCGGCGAACGTCGTCTTGATCTCGCTGCTGTTGACGAGGCCGCTGAGGAGCTTCTTCTCGTAGTCGTTGTAGTTGCCGGACACGCGAAGGCGTTCAGGTTCGGGCTTCTGCATGTCGGCAGACGAGCTCCCGCCGCCGGAGGAGGGTTTGGATCGCGTCGGTCGGTCCTGGGTGCGGTGCAGCTGCGCGGTGCTGTAGCTGCTGGACTCGACGACGTCGAAGAGAACCCTCCATGACTCATCGGGGCGGACGGTGCCCTCGCAGGCGTAGAAGAGGCGGGTTATGTGGTATACGTCGGAAAGGGGGAGGATGGAGGTTGCCAAGACGCGGGGGATGAGTGAAACCTCCATGTATGAGCCGTGTGTGTCATCCAAGAGGAACTGCGGCGGCGAGGACTTTGACACGCCGACGATGCGCAGTTTACTTGTGTCTCGCGTTTGGCCAGAAATGCTCTTCAGCATATGCTGGATGTTTCGCAGGTTCTCTTGCAAGTAGTCGTTGGCCTCGTAAATCTTCTTGGTGTTCGCAGCGTCGGTGATCCGCTGGAAGTTCAGGGGCAAAGGGATCAGACACTCCTCTGCCGCAATCTCCTTGAGCGTGGATGCGTATTGCTCCGAAGGGTTCTCGTTGGATGAGGTGCCCACGAGAGTAACCCTCTTTCCAGCGCGCCACATGGTATCTACGATGGTCCGAAGTCGGCCGATGAGCAGCGCACCCTCGAGCGTCATGTTGAGCTCGACAAAGTCGTCCACATGAATGATCAGGTTGCGATCCGGCTTTGATGTCATCTTCGTCGCCGAGTTGGCAATCTCCTCGAGAACGGCGTTAATCTTCAGGTTCTCCCATCGATCGACAGAGGGGAGGATGTAGTCCTTGGGGCCTTCTTTGATCTTTTGCAGTTCGTTGTCCATCGGGTTGCCGTAGCCGCCATCCACCCCATGATCCCGAAGGTTGACCCAGGCTGCTTCGATCTCGCCAGAAAGATCCTCGTCGTTGGGCTTGGACGGCTCCTCGCTCTTGACGAGACGTCCATTCATCTCGGCAGACCGGTAACCCAGCATAGAGATCGAGCCACGCGAGTAGGCACAGTCCTGCCCGATGTAGTCGCCGACAAGCATCGCCAGCTCTTGCGCATCGAGGTGAATCAAGTCAGCTTCCGCGCAAGACGCAACATGCTTCATAAGCTTCTTGGTATGACTTCGGCCGGTGTAGTTGGGGATATTGACGACAGTAAGCGGTCTCTTGAGCTCCCTGCCTGCGGCACTTGCGTCCGGCTGCAGGGAAAGCTCCGCGCACACAGCCGTGACTACTTCGCCGCGGATTCTGGGGTCGAATAACCTCAGTCCGTCACGTCTCAGCTTCGGCCGTCCCTCTTCGATGTATTGCTCGACAAGCGATTGTAGTACGCTGTCTGGGTCTTGTGTTGGATCGGCGTCCGTCGTTGCTCTGGTGTGTTGCGACAAAAGGTTCGAGAGGACGAATTTGTTGGAGTATCGAAGCATGTCTGCAAATTCCGTGGTCGGCAGCGGCTCGCGAGAGCTCTGCAGGTTATTCGAAGATCGCATCTCGTCAATAGAGAGGCTCAGCCACTGCGATGCCTCAGCCAGGAGGCGGCTCCTCCTCTCAACGGCTTCGAGATTGCCTCGGCGCAGCGCATCTTGCAGCTTCGCTTCGCTCCACGACGCATGACTGAAGACGAGATCCAAATCTTTCCAGAGCAGATCATGCCAGCGGGCGCCCATGTATCGATGGTGCCACAGGTCATTCGTGAGGGTGTTGATGCGGTTTTCGGGGTCGTACAGCGACACGCTGTTCTCGAGGAAGCTCTGCGGCAGCTTCACAGGTGGCAGTTCGTCAGCGGCCCGTGGCCTAGAAAGGCGCGCTCTCGCAGAGGCGAACGCGCCGCCCCTCGACCTCCGAAATGCCGACTCCGCCGTGACCGACTCTGTCTTGCTTATGTTGCCATCTTTGCTTCTACTGCCGTCCTCTTGCTCGCCTGCTGGTTTGTCTGGTGGTTTGCCGTCTTCTGCGCCGCCTTCGGACGGGCTCTTCCGCAACCTAAAGGACGGGTGGAAATGTCGACACTGGCTGCGATGAGCGACTGAAAGCGCTAACCTCGATGTAACGGAGACTCGTGAGGCTGATGCAAGGGCCCGAGGCCCTATTGCATACATTCGGAAGGACAATGAGCAAAATGCCAGCAATTGGCGGTGTCGTTGCGTGGCAAAAGAGACCTTGTTTGCCTTCGAGCTGTTGAAGCCGGCACCATGCTTAGTTAGAACGGCGGAATCTCGGCAGAGTCTTCACCGATGCTCACCGAGAGTCCCACACCGAAGTATGAAAATCGTAATGAGATCATTCACGATGGATCCTGGGCCCAGCCATGACTCAGCATAGGTACTTCAATGCAATTAAAGATGCGGTCATGAAGATGATTTCTAAATCCTTGGTAAATAGTTATGGGCATGGATACCATGTATTTGTTTCTGGCGGTAAGGATTAGACACTACTCTACGAAAGATACCTTTCTCAGAATATGACGTCCTCCCCAAAATCTACTTCCTCAGTATCAGCTGGCAACTCTTTCACCCTCGTCCACCACTCATGCCAGTTCCGCATTTGATCTAACAGGCTCGTCGTCAATTCCTGCATGTCCCACTTAGGCCGTAGTGATCCAATCCCAGACTGCGTTGAAGGTGTCCCGCGGTTGTGTGCTGATACCGTTAATAACGGCCCTGTCGTGATCCAATTCCTACTGATGTCGTTTCCTATATGCTCTGACCAGGTGAGAACCGTGGTGTCCTGGATCGTAAATATCTCATTGAGAGTTCTGAGTCGACGGAACAGCCCCGAAGCTGCTATGAAAGGGGTTTCTTGGTTTTCAAGATACTCTTGCGCCCCTTCGGCAAGCAAACTGAACCAATGTAACATCGATATGACGTTGTCCCAGCCTCGAGGTTCTGTGGCCATGAATGAGAATGCTTCGAGAGAAGGTTGAAAAGCGTTGAGGAGCCAAGTGATGCGTCGGAGCACGTGAACATGCTCAGGGCTGAGCATGCTCCGTCCTAGGGCATTTGCCCAAGCCAGTGTGGTTGTAACCAAGGCAGCAATGCAACCTATATTGTTTTCGCTGACTTGACGAGGAACAGGTGGCATTTTAATTGCCAATCCAAGCGCATCGCATAGAACATCAAGCATCGCGTAGGCCTCAACGTTGGATAGAGTGGCATGCAACACTGCGGGGAGCATCTTGCCAAGAACGAATGACATGATGGCATCATTCTCCAAAGCCCCTTTCAGCAGGACGACTTCATGCGGCAGTCGGCCACGCTGGAGAGCCACCTTGAAGTTATTGAGCAAGAAGTGGAATAGTGTACTAGGGACTCTGGGGTCGCCTTCCGCAAGCTTGAATCCGTATGACTGGATCAACGCTGCTTGTAATTGCGGGTCTTGCATCGGCGGCGAATACTCCTTGCTCACCTCCAAGAAGAACTTTTGCACGGGACAGATGTCTGAACCATGAGCCTTGATGAGGGAGATGATGTTGCGGACGAACTTGACATAGCTCGGGTGTTGTGATTCGTCTCCAGTCATGATTTGAAGGTCAGCCCGCATTTGGTTCATGACGGCATTGAGCACTCTCTCGAACTCGGACCGCATGTTCTTCTTAGATGCAGCGTCGGCTGTGTGAAGAGATTTCCGCATCCAAGATACCGCGTCTGAACATTGTCAGTCATCTGTAACACGGAATCAACCTGCGCAAGTACTCACACTCGAAAAAGTCACGATTGGCCGAGTAGCCTGGGTTGACGACGAGACCTGCTTTCTCCGGAATGAAAGGATAGCCCTGTCGCTGGAGCTGCTGTCCGAATCGGTTCTCAAATCTCAAGTAGTGACTCGGCTGTACGATGACCATGAGCCACAATAGCAAAAGGCTTCCTCCAATATCCTGCGTCATGTTAGTTGTATTCACACATCACGCACCAGTGGCGGTCCTTACCTCCAGGTTGATGGTTGCTCCCTTCTGCGCAATAATGGAAAGGAAGAGTGGAAGATATTGGCGTTGTTCGCAGTCAAGCTTGTTTGGCGTTTTCCCGAACAACCCGTATTTGGTGGTTTTGAAGACCTGCGAGAGTGCCTAGATATGGTAAGCGATCAATTGGCTCTTTGGATCAACTCAGATCAACTCACCATCATTCCGCAGCGGACGAAAAGACCAATCATCATGCCAGACACCACGACAGATTGTTCAATACAGGATGTCGACACACTTGAAGTGCCAGGTTTACCACGGGATTGATTTGACAAGAGGCAGCGTGCCGCTGAAAGGAACGCAGCTGCCAATTCGCGGTCCAGCATCTGGGATGGTGTTAGACACGTAAACGAGGTAAGAGGATGAGCATGACTTACCAGAATAGCATCCTCAGACTCCAAAGTCCGAGAAGCCATACTGTCCTGACTATCATCTGCTTCATTGAAGACCGACTCAATTCGACCAAGAAGGCGTTCGAGAGTGGTCAAGGAGGCTTGGAGAAGCGTGGACGGGAAGTCTGCTGGCAAAGTAGAGAAATGCAGGAAGACTTGCTGCAGTTGATCTGTGAATGATGTGAGTTCAAGTACCCCAAATGTCTGGTAAGTTATCTCACAAGGGCTAGAGGCAAGCCTTGCCAGCTCCAAACTATTCGCATATTGCACAACCTCCATTGAGGACTTGACTGAGAACAGCATGATCTCCATGGTTGCAGCTTTGTTTGTAGCCACAATGGAGTTCATCAGGTCTTCGCTGACATTATTGCTATCATCCTTGGACAGTGCCAAGAATTGCTGTTGGATATCTGCTGCGGCAGAGTTGTACTGATCCAACAGCTGCTTGAACACATTGGCTTGCCAGCTAGACAGCGAATTGAATGACGCGGCGGACTCTTCGTGTACAACAAACCTTGCCAGTTGATTCCAGGCCCGTAGATTAATAAGACAGGCTTCCTTGTGAGAGCTAGCAGGAATCACCAACTTCTCCAGGTTGTGGATGCCGGGACGAAGATCAGGTGGTGCTGCCCAGAACAGAGTACACAAGAGATCATGATGATTCCTGAGAGCGGCTAGGTCATGCTGGTAGACATTTTGTTCTTTGGAATATTGCCGGTCGTGGTTTGGCAGTGTGCGAGCGACCAAATTTCGGATGTCGTTGACTGCCCCATTTTGCCTCAACCTCTTGATGGCTAGTGCCACAAGTTTGAGAAATATGTGGAAACACCTATCCTCAGGCTCGACGTGGAGAGACGGGTCAAGATGAAGGCTGTCTAAGAAACGAGCTGAGCGAAAAGCTTCTTCGTTTCGCAGATGAGACAAGTTCTGCGAGCCAAAGAAGTCGAAGATGGTACCGATGATACCGCTGCTTTTCTGCCAACCCCATTGATCGACCAGATAGTGACACCTGGACACTAGTGCCCGGCAGTAGTCATTGAAGCTCGGCGACTGGCGGGAATTGTCGCGGTATAGTTGGAAGACGCGTTTGAGGACTTGCTGGGGTAAGTTCCACCCTTCCAGGGGAACCAGGTGTCTCCTATCGGAAACGATCACGCCATTGTCGTCAAATTCGGACAGTGGTAGGAGCGTGAACATCTTCTTCCAGAGATTCTCAAACTCTTGGGAGTCCATGCCACGAATCACACTCGGTTGTACCATGCACGCGTATGTGACATCCCAGAATGACATCCTAGGAATCCGAAGATATTCTAGGACCTTCATGAGAAGAACCCAAGCGTGTACTACGACCTTATCGGAGCGAATGCCACGTTCGCGGTACCGTAAAGTCTGAAGATCATCGTAAAGTTGAGTAACGTCGTCCAGGCCAATGTCGAGTAGCAATCGGACCAGTGTTTCTGCAGTTTTCCTGAGAAGCGCCTCCATAGCAAAGCTCTCTGTCATCAGGGTCGGACTTTTTTCACAAAGGCGGATTGCGTAGGAGACGACAAGAAATACATTTGACAACACGTCAGCCAGTTCCCGACGCTTAGCCAAGTCAATGGCATCTTCAGAGTCGAAGCGCGTCAAGAAAGACTTGACCACGTCAGAGACTCGAGCGAGGAAGGAGGCAGCATCGGCATCGTTGGTGAAGCTCATAGCTTTTTGGACGTAGTCCAGAACAAATCTTGCCGCTCCTTTGGCATTGGGTGTGACTTCTGCGGACAGTGATGGCCTGAGAATTTGCTCAAGGATTCCGTCCATCACGATGCCAAACTCGGACGAGACTTGTTCGGTCCATGAGTCCCATCGAAGGACCATTTTACCCAGGCTGTAAGAAATTCGGGGTCGGTAATTCCATACCTTCTCGGGAAACTGGTCGTACGCTGCTGAGCTGACCCGGCCACTGCCGATGAGTGTTGTCTCATGGAAGAAAACCCCGCGGTCCAAGGGAAAAATGTCAAAGTGCTGTGTATAGTGCGTGCCGAAAGGACCAAGACCAAGAAGTTGATTATCGTTGAACAAGGCCTTGGGTGTTTCTATAGGAGTCATCAACTCTATAGTAGGCAAGGGATCGTCTGCATGACGGAAATGCGCTGCCGTGACATCGATCTGGATTGTCTGCGCAGGCTTTCTCGGACGCTTCAGTACCGGCTTCTCGACTGATGCAGGCTCAGGAGGGCCTCTGGTAGCAAGACTGTGCCCTGATACTACTGATGATGTGTCGTCTAGGAAAGAATCCAAGTGGGCACTTCTCGATGATAGCGACTGCGAGTGATTATGCTTGAAAAGAGCATCGAGGGCTCGCTTCTTTGCTTGGAAACCGACTCTACCCGGTTGCTGGGTCAAATCCATTTCAAGCTGAGCCGGCCTGTTTCGGGTATCTTGCGTCTGCTGACTTGCGGCCGAATTACTTCTCGACATTTGCCTTATCCGAGAGTGCGCCTCCGGCAAAGGCGTCAAAGGCGTTGAGCCCTCACGACGGAGTTCATCAGACTGCTTGGCGCTGTGGGCCTTTGGAGAGGATACAGCACCACGAGAGAAGACATTCGATGGTAGTTGAGTCAGTGGGTGTCTTCCATTTGACCCTGTGGGCTGATGTTTCTTCGTCTGCAATCCAGGTCGAGGTCGAATCTTGCCTCCTTTCCACTGTTGGAGCACTCTGCCGGCATCCACATTGTCCTTCCGTGTGGCTAGGCGTATGCTCTTGTTTGTGGGACTGGATCGTCCCATGTGTCGCTTGCTCTGAGCTGCTCGAGCCGCAATCTTCAGAAACTTCGGCGCATCTGGTTCGATGACATCCAGAATGCTCAACCTCGGAGGAGGTTTCGCTCGGGCAACAGCTCGAGTATTGGTCGGAGCAGATCTGCGACTTTTGGAGAGAGGATCAAGGCGAGAAGCTCCGGAAGATCGATTTGCGCTTTTCGGCGGTCGCCCGCGCTTTTTGGGTTGGGCGCTTGATGGATGATCGTTCTTTTTCTGCCTTTTGGCAGGTTGCTGAAAGTCTTTCAAGGTCAATTGACGTTTTCTGCTTGGAAGCATGTGGTCAACCTGGTCTTCCTCAACGACGGAGCCACCGTCATCATCGTCACTGATTTCCATGACCTCAGATCTCTCGAAAGGCAACACAGTCTGGATGTTGTGAGAAGGGCGTGTAGGCGTCTGCGCGGTAACCACATCATCGTCCGAGTCATCGAAGAGAAACGCTGCTGCCGTAGACGATGCCGAGCGGCCTATCCGTCGGACAGCTACGCCTCGTCTTGGACCCTTCTCAGGGGAGTCATCGGGGCGTTGGTACTGAGTAGGCTTGGGACGTTTTGCCTGTTGGTCGAGCCTAAGCCAGGATGCCGGAAGGACACCTCGCATTCTCTTTGCAATCGCCGCGCCGACCTCCTCGCGACCGTCATTCTGACCCTCTGATTCCTCTCCTGAACTACTCTGCACATCAACATCTCCGGATCCATTTTCTTCTCCCACATCGGACATGTCCGCCATGGTCAGGTCGAAGACCGGCGGCTCCGCTTCGACAGACACACGTCGCTCGAACTCAGGAGATAGCATGTTGCTGTCCACGATAGGCAGGTAATCATCCTCAAGGAATGACATTTCGGCGTTGCTCTTCGCAGGCATTGATGCAGGATCAGTCAGGTGGTTGACCACGGTGGTTTGTACTTCAGGTGACGAAGAAAGCATGCCGTAAATTTCATCATACTGCTGAAATTGCGGACGCGAGGGTGAAGGCGCATTTATGGTTGCCCTCTGCGTCACCACAGCCTTGGTCGCAGTGCCATTCCTACGTTTTCGTTTTTTGGCAGATCGATTTGCCAGCAAGTCGCGATGGATCTTATCAAGAGAGGGCAAATCATCGACATCGGAGAAGCTAGTGTTATCCGTATCTCCCTGACTAGGTTGGCTACTCGGTCCGCCGCGATGCTTGGGGGATGATGTTCGGAGGGGTGAAGCGGAGAGGGACGACATCAGCTGAGGACTGGAGCTCAGCGGGACGTCCAGGCCGTTGAACTGGCTCTCGTCTGTGGTTCCGTTTGGCGCATCGGCTGTGGGTTCTTGGCTGTCATCCTCAAAATCCTTCTCCTGGGAATCCTCCTCTGGTCGTTGTCGTCTCGGGGCTGGTTCTGTGGGCATTCTGATCGGCCGGATGCCGTGTGACTTGAGAGCCTTGCTGTACTGGGCATTCTCAATCAGGTATGGGTGTTCCTGGATGGGTTTCCTTGGTCTGAACGAGCGTTCATACCGCACAGCGACTTTTCGAGCAACCTCCTCGTCCCTGTTGGAGCTTTCCATTCGCTGGATAGCTGCGGGCCTCGGCTGCTTCCTCGACTGGGTTGGCACCGCAGAAGCAACACAAGAGGCTGCTGAGGAGGCGAATATAGGCCTCGCGGGCGAAGTCTTGCCATCATTGGACTGCTCAACTGGAGCTGACACCTCTGCCTCCAGGCTAGAACTAGCAAAGAGCTGAGCAGCCAATCGTCTCTGCCGGCTTTGTTGGCTGGGTTGTGAGGAGGCAGCCAGAGGCTTGTTAGGAGGTGGAAGGCTTTCGGTATCGTTCTCGGCGGGGAACTCAGGTTCAGGAGCAGTGATTCTAACATAGCTCGTCGAAACGGTATCATCGCCAGCCAGGGGATCGGGGGAGTCGTCGCGGTCGTTGGGAAGATACATAGTCCTCGTTTTCGTCGTAGGTGCCACTACTTGGGCTGCTGACTCGTCTAAGTCCAAGTTGAAGGGGTCGTCCAGCTCATCCACATCCGGCACCGAAGACAGCGGCGAAGAGGGCGGCTCTCCGTCAATAGGCTTAGACACCTCATGGTGGCGATCCGTTGCTACATGATCAGCAGTCGCGACTGCTGGCGTATCTTGTGACGATTCGGGAACGTCCCATATGCTCTCTCGGGCGCCCTTCGTTTGCAAAGCATCGGAGGTGGTTTTCGAAGGTAGTTCGGGGTTCGGTAGCGACTCAAGATCCTGGCTATCGAAGTCGAGTTCATCGTCCGAGTCTGGGACCTCGCCCAATTCTTTCCAGTTTGCCATGACATAAAGCGTTCATCATAAAGAAGTAGACATCGTAAAGTATGAAGCAGTGAAGGGCTTCTGAGAAAGGCTGGGTGGCCAAAATTTCGGCTCGTCTTGTTCGATCCGAAAAGCGGTAGTGCTCTCATTACCTAAGGTAGTTGTACCTACTCAGGCGAGGTGCAAATAATCCGATTGTTGAAGCAGACGCGTTCAGGCGTTCGCTGAGCGCGTCTGGTGGGGTACACGCTGTCGCACGCGGTGGCACGGGGGCGGGAAACCACTTTAGTCGATTGAGTGTGCGCACAGGCCCCGGCCTGTACCGAATTTTGGATGACCGACCGCGACCTTTGGGTTCGCGCTACCTGAGCTATCCTGGGTGTATCATCGATGATTACATCACAGCCGCCGCCTATTGTCAATTGCAAGATTGAGCTACCTATCCGAGCATAACAATCGTGCCCGAAGGATTAGTCCCATAACTCGACTATTCCAAGCCATTGAAGACCTCCAAGATGAGCTTCAGAAACGTTATACCCATCGTCGTAGCTGTGGTAGCAGGCATCTCCATCAGTACGCACCACCCCGACCACTTGATGCCAAAGGAGACTTCTGGCCAAGTCGACAGTCGCTGACTATACATAGCTAACTACACGTTGAAGCCTGAGCTCGAAAGGCAAGCAAAGCTACGGGAGCAAAAACAGTTTCAACTACCCAAGCCCGTCTCGTCAAGCGAACCGAATACCTCCGATTTACAGACTCCGAACCAAACAAAACCTCAAATCGGCACAGGTCCAGAGAACTCAAGACCAAACTCTTGAAACTCTGGGCAGTAATGGAATCAACAATCTCGTTACAGAGCTATCAGGCTGCTACAAGCTCAAATACTTTGCATTCTGGCGACGGAAGACATCCAGGTCTACCAGGAGATATATCACATATCCCGAATAACATTATAAGTCACTCAAAGAGAGTGATCCATGGTGAAAAACAAGTTCAGGTAAAGAATGGGTTGTTCCGCATAGCTTATCAACTCCATGCTAAAGAGAGAACTACTTGAAATAATACGAGTCGGGATGATCAAGTGTCTGTAGGATATTTGACAGTACATAAGCGCATGCCGTATTTGTTCAGTTCAATTATACAACAGCAAGAGCATAATATCACACAGCACCCCGGGAGGAGAGAGTGCGCAACTAGATGCGTATAGAATTCGCTCATTGGCTGAATTATCTGGGTTGCTCGAAGGCTGACGGAAAGTCACCGACTTCGGCCGAGATGCGCCGTGATGTCAAAACCAAGTACAGACAAAACGATTTCGTGTGTAGCAGCCAATTGAGCCGACTGAATAGTGAAATACGGACCCAAGAAATTTAAAAGTGATGCTTAACTGACTGAGCAATCCCAAATTACGTTTATATCTTTGATAAATGACCATAAGACGAAGCAATTGAGATCCCGGTCAAACGGCGGTATTCGGAATGAGCCGACAACCGAGCCCTGCAATGGGAGCTGCGCTGCTGCAACTCTGCCCGTGGGCTAGAAGCCTGCCAGTGACAGCAGCAAACCTGACAGCACTTGGTGCGCTGGGAGCTACCCGTAAAGCTCCCCGTCAGCCCAGACACCGAGGTGAAGGAACCGGCAACACCCCCGTGGCCCGGCCCCCCTGTGCCCAGCACTCAATTCCATTGGAAGAACGGCTCTCGCACAGGCCACAAAAGCATCACGTGATCTACCAGTCACCCAGTCGCAGCCGGCGTATTGCAATCGAAATTCCAATCATACGATTGCCCGGAACTTCTAGGTAGACCAAAAAAACCCTCTTCTTCCTCCTCGACGCCCATCACGAATCTCGCAAGAACCCCCCCCACCCGCGACGTCCACGAACTCAATCGCTCCAATTGAGCTCCTACCCGAACTCGACCGTTCTCCTTTAGCGATTTTTCGATTTTCCGACGACACATAAACCCCGACACACAATGTTGCGCCCGACCGTTTCCCTGGCCCGTACCGGCCTGCGCGCCCACTCCGCCGTCATCCGCCGCGCCGCTTCCACCCACGCCATCTCCAACCCTACGCTCGCCAACATCGAGAAGAGATGGGAGGGCATGCCTCTCCAGGAACAGGCCGAGCTCTGGATGGCCCTGAGAGACCGCATGAAGGGCCCCTGGGCTGAGCTCACCCTTCAGGAGAAGAAGGCCGGTGCGTGACTATTTTCCATTATATTCCGTCGAGAGAGAGAGAGAGAGAGGAAACGTGGTTCGATGTCGGCCGAAAGGGGATTGAGAGAGGGGGAAGGGAGATAAAGCCATTGAAGGAAGCCCGTCAACATCAATTGCTCGAGAGGAAGGAGGCATCTTATATACGCCATCCGATGCTCTCTCTCAATTGGCTTTTTTTGATGCCCGAACCACCCCAGACGAACTTCATATCCATCCCCCCCATCCCTGTGCATATGCATTGCGTCACATCGAGAAACCTCAAAAAACTAACGCAAATTGTCTCAACAGCCTACTGGATTGCCTTTGGCCCTCACGGTCCCCGCTCCGGCACCCCCGCCGGCGAGACCGGCCGCGTCTTCTGGGGCGTCATGGCCGCCGTCGCCGCCAGCTTGGCCATCTTCTCCACCGTCCGCATGTTCGCTGGCCCTGCTCCCGACACCATGACCAAGGAGTACCAGGAGGCTTCCAACGAGTTCCTCAAGGTATGTAGCATTACACCCTCACCGGACACCGGCAACCACGTCCTCAATTGGGAGTACACGTCGATGCCGTCAGAAACAAATACATCAGAAAGCTAACCACTCTTCCACTCGCGTACAGAAACAAAATTCCGACCCCCTCACTGGTCTCTCTTCCGAGGGCTACTCCGGCAAGGGCATGGTCCAGTCTCCTCCCAAGGCTTAAAATCCTCCCGATATCCCGTTACCCTTCCCTATCGTCTCTTAGAATCACGAATCACAAATTCGACACACACCATGGCAGTTTTGCCCATGTATCAAATGACTATTAGTAGAAGGCTGGCTGGCATGGGCTGAGGGGGCTTTGCGACGTGACTCGAGGACAACCCAATCTGCTTGGTGTAAATACTGTACTAAAAGAGCTGAATTCCAAGCAAATTTCCATTTGTTTCTTTAAACAAAGATGCCTCTTGATGCCATGTCTGGCCATGTGGTGACTCACGTGTCTCTCACGAATCTTCAACTGTTGGCCTTGTCACTCAATATTCTTCATTGTATGGAAAGATATCACACTTCACAGGCTGCCGATTGGTGTCTCTTTAGTCCTGGGACAAGGTAGAAACATCATGGCGAGGAGTTTGGAAAGGACAGGTGATAAATCTATTGGGTTTGGTTTCTAGAAACACAGTGCTTTTGCATAACTCATGACAATTGCGATTAGCTTGGTAAGTAAGTCTCCTTCTCTTTCCCCCTCTCTATTTGTCTTCCACTATCCATGGCCCTCTGCCTCTTCACTATAACAACTGTTTAGGAGTGCTGGGAGATGGGTGACTCCAGGCCAAGCACCTATACACCGTTAGTCTCATAGAACCTATTATTGTATACGGAAACCTTACCAAAGCAGATCTGCTAGGAATGTAGACGTGAGTCCAGTTCTTCCGGTTGTTCCACTCCATGGCAGTGGTGAAGAATCGAGTTCCCTCATCCACCCGCGCGTGACCTCCAAAGTATTTGGAGTCAGTGTTGAGGATAACCTTGTAAGAGCCGGGCACCTCAATGCCGATTCTGTAGTCGGCGAAGCTCTCAGTGGGGTGGAAGTTGAAAATGAAGACTACGCCAGCCCTCTCGAAAACAATGACCTTGTCGTTCTCGTTCTTGAGAGAGATGTATGCCTGAGGCGCGGCCAACCAGCCGTATTTGCCCTCGGTGGTGTTCATTGCGCGATCAAAGTTGTTCAAAAATTGGTATCGAAGCAAATGATCATCAGTGAGGTTCAGCTGGCGTCTAGCATACCAGAACGAGTTCTGGTTGCCCTCGCGCGGAAAGTCAAGCCATTCAGGATGGCCAAATTCATTGCCCTCAAAGTTCAGGTAGCCTTCGCCGCCGAGTCCGTGGGTCAACAGACGAATCATCTTGTGGAGGGCCATGCCGCGGTCAATGACCGGCGTCAAGGGGGTCAAAGTCGACATGTTCGTGTACATCTCGGCATCGCAAAGATGGAACATCAGGGTCTTGTCGCCCACAAGCCTGGTCCCAGTTAGCTTCAAGTGTCGTGAGTTTCGCACAAAGGGGTAGCTTACGCCTGGTCGTGACTTTCAGCATAAGCAATCGTCTTCTCTCCATGTCTCCGATTCGTCAGAGTGAAGCAGATGTTGCCAATGTCCCAGTTCTCGTCCTTCGTCTCCTTGAGGATCTTGATCCACATATCCGGGACAGCCATGGCGAGTCGGTAATCGAAACCAACACCACCGAGTGAGAGCGGCAGGCAAAGAGCCGGCATACCCGAAACATCCTCAGCGATGGTAATAACTTCCGGATACAATGAGTGCAGCAGTTCGTTCGCGACCATGAGGTAAGCAATCGCCTCCTCATCAGCATCCGGCCCGAAGTACTCGTGGTAACCACCAGAAAATCCGCTGTCGTCGTTAGCAAATAGTACCCAAAGATTGGTCTCAACCATGTTTAGCACTTACGTTCCGATACCGTGGTGCTGGTAGAGCATGCTCGTCACACCGTCGAAACGGAAACCATCGAAGTGGTACTCATCCATCCAGAATCGCAGGTTGCTGAGCAAGAATCTCATGACTTCGTGATGACCGTAGTTGAACAGTCTGCTGTCCCACAGCTCGTGGCGGCCACGTCCTCCCTCGTGGAAGTATTGGTGGTCTGTGCCGTCGAATTCGTTGAGTCCATCCAAAACGTTCTTGGAGGCATGGCTGTGAACAACATCGAGAAGCACAGTGATTCCCATGCTGTGAGCCACGTCGACCAATTCCTTGAGGTCTTCCGGTGGTCCGTAACGACTGCTAGCGGCGAAGAAGTTGTTGATCTGGTACCCAAAGCTGGCATAGTAGGCATGCTCCATAACTGCCATGAGCTGGATAACGTTGTATCCGAGATCTCGGATTCTGGGCAGCATGTTTCGGGTGAACTCCTTGTAAGTTGCAACGCGCAACTCGGGTGATGAGATTCCCACATGGGCCTCATATACGCGTGCGCTGCGAGGCTTTTGCGGCCTCGGGTACTTGAACTCGTACTTTTCTCC